GATCTAGGATTGATTACGCAGCCTTCATCTGGAAACCGTATCACGTAACTCAAATTAACCGTATAGCGTGAATCCAAAAAATATTTATTAAGTTTGCACTCCGTTCTTTAAACTTTACTGATCCTATACCTTCCTACGAATCCCGTTGCCAACTTTTATCCCTGAAAACTTTACAGTCCAGATCTTCCTTTCTCTCTTGCAGCTTGGTGTATAACCTGCTAAATTATACAGTTGACTGCCCTGCGCTACTGGAGCAACTAAACTTCTGCGCGGAATCTCCGACACGTCCCTCTGTTTTACACTGAGTTTCCTAAATTTGATTATCTTAAATTTGCTCCCATGCCAAGAACTCTATCTGAATTAAATAATATTCCTAACTTGGACCCGCCCCGTCGCCTGGAGCTGTCCGAAGCCTACTGCATAATTATTTTAACTAATTACTTTAACTAGTTCCTAAGCAATTCCTTTCTGTAGTCAGTAAGAAATTCATTGTTTCATATGACTTATACATAAATAAATAAATAAATGGAGGCCATTAAAAGGAGGGAGCTTACATTTTATCATTTAAGCTAAATGGATCAGAACAATCTCTTAGCAATCTCCTTTGTATATTAATGCAACTGCTAGCTGTTGTTCCCCCTGGGACAAAAGTGCACCGGCCACTGAATCCTTTGTATTCTACTTAATTAAGGAAAAGTCTTCAAATAATGATTAAACTAATTTTTTTTTTAATTACACTACTCACTTGCGATTATGTATATTTATTTTGATTTGTTTCTGTCAAAGCAGCTGAGTAAGAACTTCGAGTTTCACTATTTTAGTTGGCAACGCCGTTGATAGCTACGATCGGATTACAGCATACCAATTTTCGAATTTTCGGAACTGAGTTACGAATTCGTAACTACGAACTTTCGGATTACAGCATACGGGAGTTTATAAACGCAAACTCCAACGACTAAAAAACAGCAATAGAAGGATGAGCGATTATAAAGTACTCACAGTCGCTAATTGAGCGACTAAGCAACACTCACAATAGCATCGATGATCGATACTCGCTTAATATTCGATTATCTACTGGCAGTCGACATTCGCAATAGGAGTGATAGTTGAAAAAATTGTGGCCGGTCACGAATTACTTTGGTCCTTCGTGAGATAATGATATTTATAATCTCTTCGTATTCCGAATCACTATCATCTTCCCAACTCAAATCGAAATCCATTTTGTGCCTTTATTTTATTTTTCCGACAAATTATTGTGCTTCTCAATCAAAATTTATCATCACCATCTGTTTGCTGAATCTGCTGTTTTGCGACTTACTGCCATACCTAAACAAAAGCGTTGGGCGGAGCGGTTTCTGACGCTTAGCGTTATCGCCGAAGTGCCATACCTAAACAAAAGCGTCAACGCTACGTCAAATGCAGAAATAACACCAACAATAAGCATAGGTTTGTTTGTGTGTAACACGAAAATGACAGTTTCGCCCTTTTCTGCAGCCAACTTCAATACCTAACGCCCTATCAAAATCGGATTTTCCAACCGCTCAGCGTTGACGCCGCGTTGTTTCGGTATGCATCATACAAATTGTATGGGCATGAGAATTTTTTGACAGCCAGACAACGCTGACGGTTTTGTTTAGGTATGGCAGTTAGTTTACTTTTAAGGGCCATTCACATACAACTTTCCTCGCTTTGCTTGACAGTTCAAACTTTGACAACAAAGCGTGAAACGCATAAGGTATGCTACAATAAACGCTTTGACAGCTTTTGCGTTCTCCTTTTCCTCCATATATTTTATCTGTAAAATAGATAACAATATAATAATAGCAGTAAAAATTCCTATTTACCCAATTTTTGTCATTAAATGCAAATGCAAGCGCACGAGAAAAGATACATGTAGACAGCTGATTGCCAAAGCGGGCAAAAGTTGAGAGTTGCCCAAGATTTTGCTTTGCTTTGCTTCAAACTTTTTTATGTAAGCATACTCATGCATATGCTTACATCGATCTTATATGTCAAAGCAAAGAACTATCAAGCAAATCGAAGAAAGTTATATGTGAATCAGCGTTTAGTCGCCGACGGCCGCGACTTAAGTTTAACTTAAGTTGAACTTAAGATTTGCTCAAAAAGTGGTTGGTGAAACGCAAAATCTTAAGTTAGACTTAAGTTCACCTAAAAAATGGATTGTAAGACCGGCCGTAAATTTGAGATTAGCAATTAGTGACTATTTTTGTGACTTGAGACGATTTGGGTATTCAGAAGGAGAGTCACAAAAAGTTCACCAAAAATGTGTGGTGAAAGCAAACACAGCCAATCAACTGATAGTGTTTATATATGCCTTTTGCCCGCGCCGCTCAAAGATTCGCAATGGCCGAGTGGTCAAAGCATTAGGCTGGCAGCCGAGAGGGTCCGGGTTCAAGTCCTCCTCGGCCGTAGGGGATTATTTATTTATTTTTTTTATTTAGGATTTTTTTTATTAGTTTTATTTTTTTTACGATCTTTAGATTCGAATGTTTTAAAGACAAAAAAAATAAATTTTTTCAATACATTTGTATGATATTAAAGCATTTTGGTTTATTTCCTGATGAAATTCTTGTTGAACAAATTTCCTCGCTACATATTCGCGTTTTTTTTAATAAAATGGAAAGCAATTAACTTTTTCTCCATATTTTTATTTTTGAGACCTGCTCTTAGCCAGCTTACAAATTAGTGACTTTTTTAAGACTAGAGACGTGAGACAGCGTACTGAATACCAAATAGTCTCATAATCCAAGTTCACCACCAAAAGTCACTATTTGGGACTAGAGACCGCTTTCTGAATGCCAGGGTTAATCTGACTACTTCGGACTGATGAGAGTCGCTCTCACTGAGTGTGGTTCTCTCATTTTTGCTGTCATATCCGAGTCAAGGAACGCTTTTTGGACTAAATCTGACTACTTCGGACGTTTTCTGACTATTTCTGGGAGATAAGGACCTCTCCTATTTTTGGTGAACTTTATTTTGACTCTCTCCTACTGAATAGCCAAATAATCTCAAGTCACAAAAATAGTCACTAATTGCTAATCTCAAATTTAGTGACTTGAGATGAGATTGAATTACTGCAGATTGAAAAAAAATTAAGATGAAAATGTGATTTTATTGCAATTAAACATATTTTTGGGCATACATCAAGATAACCAACCGTTCAGCTATAGAAATACTAAAAATGCAGATTGCTAGTACTTTTTACGCTGATTTTAACTATATAAATATTATTTGCCGCATTAAAAAAGTAAAGTAGATATAAAAGGTAAAACAAAAAAATTTTGATATTTTAAAATATTAATATTTTCTAAACTGCGTAACCGATTCAAAAGGTAATTATATCAAAATAAAGACAATTAATTTATCTTCAAGCTGATATATAAAATGTGTTTTTTATATATTTCAGCCAAAAATATTATAAAACAAAAAAATGTCATAATTTTTTCATAAAATAACCTTTTTTAGAAAAAGTCTATAATCAATACTAAAAATTATTTAGAAAGTGCAAGTTTTTACCTTTAATTTGATATACATATTGGCCCGTAGTCATAGTCAAAATAAAGTCGACTTTAAAGTTAGTTGCAGCTTTTTTGACAGATATCCCATTGAAAATTATGTCAAAAAGCTGCAACTAACTTTAAAGTCGACTTAATTTTGACTATGACTACGGGCCAATATATCATGATTTGCTTTTGAGTTTTCAGAATTCAGTGATAATAAAAAATATAAATGCATGTATGTGCAAATGCATATTGTAGTTAATTCAACGGGTTGGCTTTCCATTATGGCCGTTCGTTAAAGGGGCGGTGGCCGAAAGGTAAGTGGACGTGGCACCTCTAACCTACCTTTTTGGAGAGGGAATGAACCGCCATTGACATACATGCAACCCCCGACAACGTAGGTCCCCTATGGTTTCCTAGGAAAATGGCCAAAATTCACAATTTGCGGTTTTTCGCTGGAAAAATTTTAAATATTCATTTGCACAAGACATTTTTATATACAAGACATTTTTATAAAACACCTAGTAACCATAATAGACATCACTGGGGCGGCAGCCCCAAGTTTACCACACTGAAAAGGAATTTTAGTTACCTCATCCTTTCCCAAGGCTACATCTGGCGGTAGCCCCAGTTGGTGCACACCAAAAGGAGAATTCTATTTGGTAAGGGTTATAATCCCTAAGAGCGGCCGAAGGCCGCCTACACAGAAAGGTGTTCAGCTCCGCTTCTTCGGCAATACAGAAAGGAGAATTCTACTTTGTAAGGGTTATGATCCCTAAGCGCGGCCGAAGGCCGCCTACGCCGAAAGACGTTCTGGGCAAAAGAAACTATATCACCCACAATTGTAACTTGCTTGTAAATGCTTTTAATTTTTTTTTATCACTGAATTCTTAAACCTCAAAAGTAGATCATAATAAAATACGTATATCGAATTAAAGGTAAGAATTGGCACTTTCTAAATAATATATATGTCTTTAGCATTGATTATGCACTTTTTTCTAAAAATAGTTATTTTATGAAAAACTTATAACATTTTATTTGCTTTTTAATATTTTTGGCTTAAATAGATAAGCAAGCAAACACATTTTATATATCAACTTAAAGATAGATTAATTGTCTTTATTTTGGTATTATTACTTTTTTAATCGGTTACGTAGTTTAGAAACTATTAATATTTTAAAATATCGCAAAAATTTTCTTTAACCTTTTATATCTTCTTTACTTTTTGATTGCGGCAAATAATATTTTTATAGTTAAAATCAGCGTACAAAGCACTATCGGTCTGCATTTTTAGTTTTCCCATTGCTGAACGGTTGGTTATCTTGATGTGTTCCAAAAAAGCTTCTTGGTTCTGTTTATTAAAATGTAATATGTGTTGGCGATTTTTGCATGCAAATGACGAATTTTGAGAACCAAACTGACGATTTCAGCAAGCACTGACCTGTCAACACTGATTGTAAAGTCGATTTAACTATCGAAGAATTATACACAGACTATGATTATTTCTTTGGCGTTATTACCACAGTATAGAGTTATTACTTTCTCACCATTTTCGAAAGAAATATTTATTTGTTTTGCAAAATGCAGGAGCGAAAATATAGTGATCTAATGCATAGAATCGAATCAGAGGAGCTGAGTGTGTGTATAACTGAAAAGTTTAAACATAAGCTTCAGTAGAGAAATGTCCACGGTATATACCCATGATCCAACGTTAGTTAGTGAACGTTAGTTGGTTCATGGTATATACCGGTCCGGAGATATTGGGTGCATCCCAAAACGTCAAAATACAAAGAATCGGTCTCTTATTCCTAAATTGTATATTGCAATGCCAAATGTGCCCAACCGAGGTTAGATGCTATGTAGTTATCAACTAGGTTGCGCAAGTTAAGACTTGCTTCTGGTGCGGTCTTGAAAGAGAAAAAGCTAATGCTTTGTATTTTGACTATTTGGAAGTTACAAACCCGCAAATCAATGATTATGAAATGTATGGAATCATACTCATATAGTGCCTTATATGTGAGTATGATTCCATAGTATGTAATGGAAATGTTTACTTATTTGTGCAACTATTTTTGGGTAGAGGGCGGAGGGGAAAGGGCGTGGCCCCAAAATATCCGCCTAAACGAGAGAGGATGGACGCCGTTTTATGAAAAGTCACCTTTTTTTTTAAGCGCGAGCTCTTGTCTACAAGTGTGTGTAAAAGTTTTTTGATTCGAATCGCGCGTTTGGGCACAACAACCCAAAATCGTAGTACAAATAAATAAAGAGTACCCTTTAATATTTACGTACCCACCATGCAAAACGTGAGAAATAGGCAACAATCGTCAATGGCAACAAATTGGCGACTCGCCGGTTTATTACCGTGGTGATAAATCGGCAACATAATTTCTTTCATGTCAATTTCGGAATAAAAAAGTTATCAAAAAATCCCAAACTTATACATTTCGCGTCAAGAGTATTTATTATCCAAAAGCGTCTAATTTACACCCAAAGACAGGATTGAAAAAATAGGAAGCCCCATAACCGAAAAAAAGAATAAATTCCGTTTCTAAGTTTGATGGGTAGATTCACGTTGACAGTAAAATAAACCAAGGAACAAATAAAGAATACCTACAATTCTCAAATTAAAAAGCAACAATTAATTTTTAAGCAAAGAACAAATCCGACTTCAATTCTCATATAAAAATTTAAGATTATCGTTAATCTCTTCATGTTCCAATGATCGGATTTAAACCAAATAAGAATGGGACCACCTCTACTACAACTACAAGAGTTACTAAAGGTCAAAGTACAAAATAAGCAATTTTTAAACCAAAAACACTCTTTCGAGTTACACATACGCGTTCCACAAGTAACTTTTGGAGTTTATTGATATACGCTCACAGTTTGAACGTTGCTCGAGTTTTTCTACATGGAGATTATGGAACAAACCTGTTAAATATGCCTTGCGTAGTTTTCACAAAAATCGAATAGATGTAAAAAATATATTTAAAAGATTGTTTACAAACCCAGTTTTTTTAATCAAATTTTCAAAATCCATGAAAGAGTTTTTGAAAAATTGGATTTAAAGAAATGCTTAACTTGAACTTTGGCCGTTAATATCTGTTGTAGTTGTTGTTACCCCCTAAAAAAAAATATACCGCAACGCTCACCTCAATGATATCTATCAATCACCGTACAGATTTGTTTATTTTGAGAATTGTAGGTATTCTGCATTTATGCCTAAAGTGATTCATATTTTAATTATATTTTTTTTGTGTATTTACATACATACAGTGACGAGCAAAACTGTAACATGATGTAATACTTTTTATTTCTGCCACCGCTATCTTTCATAGTTCTAACGACTTTCATACTTTTGTTGTATATTCTTATTGGTACACCCCTACTCCCGCTCTCATAACGATTTGAGGTCAATCCAACAACAACAAAAAAACCTGGAGACAAAAATGTAAGTTAAGGCAAATGTTACAGTTTTGCATTCACTCTCAGTTTTGCATTTTACAGTTATCTTTTGCTTAGTTGGAAGTCAGATGACTTTTTTCTGTATTGTAATTTATTCAAGAAGTGATCACCAATAAATAATATGGTTAATCAGGAAACTTAAATGTAAATAATAGATTTACTGCGAAAAGGCGGGACCGCAGGGAAAGTGGCAAAAAATTGAGGAGTTTGCCACATGAAAATGTTAAGACTGAGAAAAAATATAGCCTAAAGTGTTACTAAGGACAAAGAAAGTCTGTCAAAATATATTACAGTCCGATATCTTGTGAACTTAGTAGCAAGTAGCGCTGCAGGCACTACTACAGAAGCGCTTAAGGTATTAAAATTGAATGCAAATCAGTAGATAGTGAGGCGAAAAATTGCCAAATTGAGCAAAATGGATCATAAAAGAAGAAAAAAGCAAATTTGATCAAAATACATGAGCGAGTGTGGCAGCGTTTTGCTGCATCGCACGAAAACCGTATCGTTGCCTATTGGGATATGTTAGGCCTTACAGAATGCAATAAAAAACACATTTTTAAGATTTAATTGAGGGTTATTTGGTCTGACAAGACTAAATTAATAGCTTTTAATCAGATGGCCGGGCATGGTATTGGATCAAAGGCCCAAATTAAGCCTAAGGGCATCATGTACTGCAAACTGTGAATCACAGTGGTCGGTCAATAATAGTTTGGGGTTGTATTTCAAAAATGTTGTTGATCCGTTTGTACGCATTATGCGTAAGGAACAGTATTTGTTCATATTTTAACAAAATTTGCAAGATGTAGTCGAAAAAATTAGAGTTTCTGCTGAAAAAGCAACCAAAACACACTGCACATGTTCGCAAAGACTGGAACAAAAGCAGAAATTTGCTAATTTGAAACGACCTCCACAATCCGAGGACATGAATCTCATCGAGAATTTGCGAAATCAACTAAAAGCGCATCTTACTAAGTATCCAAGTCCGTCCAATGGAGTACATGAGCGGTGAAAGCACACCAAGGATATATGGGAGGCTATACCTCCAGAATTTTTACAGACATACACATTAGGTATGCCAAATTGCAACCAGGAACTAAATAAAGCAAAAGCATACTGAACATTGTGTTAATAATTCTTTTTTTTTGTGAAAATTGTCAAAAAGTTATTAAAAATATATGAGTGCAAAACTGTAACATATGCCTTAATTTACATTTTTGTCTGCTGGTTTTGTTAATGTTGTTGAATTGACTTCAAATCGTTATGACAGAGGAAGCAAAGATGTACCAATAAAAATATACAACAACCGTATGAATGTCGTTAGAACTTGGAAAGATAGCGACAGCTGAAATAAAAAGTGTTACTCCATGTTACAGTTTTGCTCGTCACTGTACATACATTCTTTATTGCAACTATTTTTCAACAGACAAACATCGATGCGGAATCATACACACAGCTCCTTGCAGTTTACCTTTTTCAGGATAAATTGTAATGCTTTCGTATTTTTTATTAAAAAAATTATTAACGAGCTTACATTTTTAGAGCCGATGCAAAATTTTTATGGAAAAGAATACCACAAGCACTAAAAAAAGACAGCAACGAATTGCAAAGGCTGAATGTAGTTATGTCTACACTCATCGTGAACAATCCAACTGACTTCTTCAAACAAGTGGATTATCCTTGGTCGATTAATATCAAACTTATAATGGACGATCTTATTGGTATTATTTTTTCACATTTTCAATGAAGAATTTTATATTTCTAAATTAAATGTATTTCAGAACGAGTGCGTCAGGATGTATTAATATTAGTTGGCCAAGCTTATATATCTATTTTCGAGCAAGAGTTGATCCAACTAACTCGGCTTCCTCAACAGGATTTAAAACGAGTTTGCGTTGCGATGGAGTGGAAGTACGAAAATGATGGCCAAAAGGCTGTGATTATTCCAAAAAATTCCGAGCCTATGACAAAATTAAATGCTAGTTCTGAAGATTTGCTTTTAAAATTAACAGATTTTGTTTCTTTCCTGGAAAATTAAATTTATAATTTTTCGTAAACGAAGTCATATTAAATGTAATCAGTTACTTAAGGTACGTTAATTTGACAAACCCATTTTGAGGTGTATTAAACAAGGTGTGATTGACAACTCAGGTAGGCTCTGTTGTTGTTGTTGTTGTAGCGGCTACAACAACCCCGCCCAGGACGGTTGGTATCTCAGTCGTTGTCGTCAAGTTCCACTAACGGCAACCCTAGGAAGCGGGCAGCTTCTGTGGGGTTTGTCCACAGGGACAAGGCCGTTAGGGTTGTCGGGTTTTCCGGGCATGCGAAGAGATGTTTCGAGTCATGTGGGGTCTCTCCGCATGCCGGACACTCATTCGGCACATCCTCATTCAACCTACTCAGGTAGGTGTTTAACCGGCTGCAGTAGCCGGAGCGCAGTTGTGCAAGTGTTGTGCGAGTCTCCCGAGGCAGATGAAGCTCCGTCTCGTCTATGTCCGGGGGTGGTATGCCTAGAACGGCATTCACAGGTCTAGAGTCTACATAACTCGAGACTGAGTCCCTGTGAATACCGTTCAGGGCCTGTCGGTAAGCTGTCGGGTCCAGAGGTTGCTTGATGAACCTCTGGACTTCGTCTGTCAGTTCATATAGACGTGCCTAGGCGAGGGCTCCTCTGCAAGCAGCTGTCTGCTTGGGTGGTCTTTGCCCCAAGTACTGCCGGCTGGCGACTTGAGGACCTTGTTGCGGCTCTGTACTTTATTGACAATAGCGGTTGCGTGCGCAGAGAAGGAGAGCAGGCTGTCGAATGTTACTCGGAGTATTTTGGGGTTATTCACCGTCGGAATTGGTGTGTCATCGACGTGAATCCCCAGCGGTAGCCTGACCTTCGTCCAGGTTGTGAACAGGGTCGCGGAGGATTTCGTAGGGGAGAGGGCTAGACACTTTGCAGTGAAGAAGCGAGAAAGTTCGGAGAGATACCCGTTTACTTTCGAACACAGGTCATCAATTCCATTCCCAGTCGCCATGATCGAGCAATCGTCGGCAAAAGAGACAATCGACACTCCCTCTGGTGGTTGAGGTAGGCTCTCTTTTAAGGTGCTATTATGCCAAAAAATATAAACAAGCGATTCAAAATTCATACATTTTTTTTTCAAATTTGACTATAGGATGGTTCTTCTGAGAGCAATGTCAAATTCAATCACATTTTGTTGAATACATTTTGGTCATTATAAAATGAGTGACATCTATACTAACCTATACTTAACTATATAAAGAGAAGCCCCTTTTTTGTAACAGGTAATCTCGTGAACGGCTGGTCCGATTTTCATGAAATTTTGTGTATAAATAGCTTTCAGCCACCAACATGTCATAGGCAAAAAAAAATTACTTTTTTCTGGTAGGTGGACCAGGAGCCGAGGTATTCGAAAAAATCTTATTATGGTCTGATTTGCTTAAAATATAGTACGTAGGTAGCTTTTTGTCTAGATTAGCAAATATGATCCTTTTTTCCGGGAAATGGACCAGGGACTGGTCTATTCGAAAAAATCGTATTTATGGTCCGATTTGATTAAAATTTGGTACGTAGGTAGCTTTTTGCCTAGATTGGCATATAGGATCCTTTTTCTCCGGGAAGTGGACCAGGGACCGATCTATTCGGAAAAATTGTATTTATGGTCCGATTTGCTTACAAATTGACATTCGGCAGGCAGTTGATTCGAAACAATTGCTATTTCTAGTGCCCCTTCCTGCCTATTTCGATATTTTATTTTGCCTTTTCTAGCCTATTTCGTTGTTGTAGCGGCTACTAAACTCCGCTCGGGTCGGTTCATCCGTCGACGTTGTCCGTTTCAGCTAAAGCCTGCTATACAGTTCAATGCGAGCGTGAACGTACGCAAAGGCAAATAATGCCATTTGTGTTCTTATGGACGCACATCCAGGGTAGGCAAAAACTCTGAGTTCGAGCGAGCGAGCGAGCAAACTCCAACTCAATGCCTCGCAGGCGCTCGCAGCTCGTACTCGTAGCAGCAATGAGGCGAGACACGAGAAGTTTGGCTTGCTCGGCAAACGAGCGAGCGCTGCTTGTTTCCTCGCGCTCCTATTAAACGAGCGAGGCTGTTGTGTGTAGCCTCGCTCGCGGTGCGAGGCGAGTAGCTGTCTGCTTACTCGCTCTGCTAGGTAAGACGAGTGAGCGACGAGCGAGCGCTCCGAGTGTACTATAAAACACATGCATTTTTGTGCATAGAAATATAGGAATGTATGTCAATAGATTATGTACGAAAGTATGTTAATGATTGTATGTACATATGTATGTGCGAATTGAGATATGAATTCGTCGCCCTGTTCTCTACTGCTAATTAGTAGGTGAGAGTGACGTATTTTCTCTACCAGTAGAGAAATAATCGGTAGAGAAAAGTTACAGAAACGGGCTACTGATATCAAATTGAAAAATTTTGTTTGAATTTCTACACACACTTACAGATTTTGACAGTTTATGCCGCCAAAGCAAAAACAAAATACATGTAATTTTTTGTTTTTGTACTCCTGCTATCACCTTATATTAATTCGCCTTGGCATAGATTATGGAATGAAATATTAGTTGCGTTCGATAACAAAAGTAGCCAACACCAGCCAACAATCAAAATCAAGAGAGTAAGCGAAAATTCTCTCCCAAATAGAAGAAAAAGCAAAAAAGTAAACGAACAGGAAATTAGCCATCACTTGCAAAAACCGGAAGAAGACACACCAGCTGACTTTGTTTATGTTTTATTTGTAAACAAACTGAAAGTCCTGTTGCCTCCATGGAAGAAAAAAGGAAAGTGAACGTTCAATGTTCGCCAGGAACGTTTCTAGAAGTAAAAACTAGTTGGCGCTTTCACAAAGTCACATAGCAGGCAGACAAAAAGCATATAAATACCAAAACTCGAAAAATGCAATTTTGTTTGTTTACAAAAATTGCAACCATATGTTTTGTGATCATATGTTTTCGTGTTGGATAATTTTTAGGTGCAATCCCGTATTCCTCGGACTCGGACTAGTAAAACTCAAAAAATAAAAATTCACTCAGAGCGAGAGAGTAACATTGAAAAGTACGGGATCGCTTTCTAGTAAAAAATGGTAACTTCAGTCAACTTCAACATAACCTCCAAGTTTTGGTTGTAAATTTTTGCTTATTTTGAATGTAAACACACTCAGGTCACACATGTAAATAACCAAAAATACTTTCAAATTCATTAGAATCCACTTAAACAAGTAATTAAATACTTTTCAACATGAATTAGCAGAGTGCACTTTTCTTTTGTTTACAATTTGGTTGCCAAACACACTACAGCTGATCGTTTGACACATTTACCAGAATTTACCAGCAAAAAATTCTCGGACTAAAACTGGTAACTTCTGACAGAGAGAGAACCGTATTTACTCCCTTTTTTGTCCTCTCAATAGTCAGAGAACCGAGTACGGGATCGATTTCCAGTAAAATCTGACTGATTCTGGCTATTTCTGACTAGTCGGGACTCGTGCGGGATCGCAACTTTTGCTGACTAAAATTTTGCCAGTACAAAATGAACGCTTCTCTTGCATCAAAATGAACGCTTGCTCTCTCAATTTTAGTGTGTTGGATAATTTTTTGTTGTTATCGAACGCCATACAGTAAAAATTTGGGAAAACTATTACAAATTTTTGACTTGTCGAACGCAACTATTTTTTATAGTTAGATATGTATGTACATACATAACATGCATAGTTATATATGTATGTATGTATTTATGTATGTATGTATGTACACATGCATGTATTTTGTCTTTACAGAGAAAAGTAAGTAACGAAGATATTATAATCGTTTGTGCCGCAGAAACAAAAAACAAGTAAGCACAAAATAGTTTGCTACTTGTAGCAGTTATGCTGTATACCTTGGTGAAAAATTTATTTGTGGCCTGTTGTTGAAGGACATATGTATATATATACAGTGACGGGCAAAACTGTAACATGGTGTAACACTTTTTACTTCAGCTATCGCTATCTTTCCAAGTTCTAACGACTTTCATACTTTTGTTATATATTCTTGTTGGCACATCCCTACTCCCGCTCTCTTAACGATTTGAAGTCAATACAACAACAATAAAAAAACCAGCAGCCAAAAATGTAAATTAAAGCAGATGTTACAGTTTTGCACTCATACATTTTTAAGAACTTTATAACAATTTTCACGAAAAAAAGAACTACTAACACAATGTTCAGTACTCTTTTGCTTGTTTCAGCCCTGGATACGATTTGGCATACCTTATTTGTATCTCTGTAAAAATTCTGGAGGTATATCCTTAGTTTGCTTTCATTGCTCATGTACTCGATTTTACGGACTTGGATACTTATTAAGTTGTGCTTTTAGTTGTTTTCGCAAATTCTCAAAGAGATTCATGTCCGCGGATTGTGGAGGTCATTTGAAATTAGCAAATTTTTGCTTTTGTATCCAGTCTTTGCGAATATGTGCAGTGTGTTTTGCGTGATTTTTCAGCAGAAACTCTCGTTTTTTCGACTACATCTTGCACATTTTGTTGAAATATGAACAGATACTGTTCCTTATGCATAATGTGTACTAACAGACCAAGAAAATTTTTGAAATACAACCCCAAACTATTATTGACCGACCACTGTTATTCACAGTTTGCTTTGCATGCTGCGCATGGACTTAATTTGGATCTTTGACCCAATACCATGCCCGGCCATCTGATTGAAAGCAATAAATTTAGTCTTGTCAGACCAAATAACCTTCAATTGAAACTTAAAAATATGTTTTTTATTGCCTTCTGAACGGCCTAACATAACCCAATAGGCAACGGTTCGGGTTTCGTGCGATGCAGCGAAATGCTGCCACACTCGCACATGTATTATGATCAAATTTGCTTTTTTCTTCTTTATGATGCCTTTGCGCTCAATTTGGCAATTCTTCGCCTCGCTATTTATTGACTTGCATTAAAGTTTAATACCTTAAGCGCTTCTGTAATAGTGGCTGCATCGCTACTTGCTGCTAAGTTCACAAGATATCGTACCGTAATATTTTTTGACAGACTTCCTTTGT